AAGTCACAGATCCTGAGCAAAAACCTCAATAACTTCCCAAACTATCCCAATGTGTGGCTGAGTTTTGGAGACGATGTTATTTAAGTGTTTAATCCTGCTAATTTTATTATTTTGGGCTTACATTTGTATAATATCTGATTATGCAAATAATCCGCACATATATAAGGTTTTACGTCGTACCATACGACAACCTCGAAACCTAAGGCGTGTTAGGACTTACGCTGCGCAACATGATTGTGCAGGAGCCTAAAGAGTGTGTGAGGATACGTCGCGCTGAGCGAGCTACCTCGAAGTCCTATGGGTTGTTATTTAGACTAAGGAGTGAGAGATTGTTGAACAAGATCCTCTTGCTGCTTGATCCAAGCTCATTGCAGTGCTGCCCACAAAGTTTGACTCCAAGCTCCTCGTCGAAGTAGCAGCCATAAAGTCTAAGGTTCAAAAGGTTTTACCAGGTGTTCCAAAGTTTTAGTTATGTTGTCATTATAGAGGGGTTAAAGTTGATTAGAGCGACATCGGTTAGGATCATACGGTTCCATCGTTCCGGTACCACTATTTTCTTTTGAACTTACTTAGCTTAAACGAGTTGCGAAACCCATTTAAGCCGATGAGATCTCGTTAGCAACCGTGGGTTAACTCCTCTGAGGGACTCCCGTAAATTCAAAAAGACGTGTTATGTTTTTTTTTTTTTAGATTGTTTTGTTTTGAAAGAAAAATTTTATTAAGTACTTGCATGATGTGTTAGAGTAAGAATAAATTGCAATGATAAAACAATAACAAATAAAATATACCTATGTACGTGGCGTATCTACTGTTGTTATCCTTGTTGCAGGTTTAACTCACAAAATACAATATAATTTGCAGAGAATTTTAAATAAATTGCAGAGAAAAGAAGAAATCAGTAAGAAGTAGACTAAGTCGTAACAACTGCTAGGAACTCCAAACAGGTGATCCTAAGGTTTCCTACAACTCCTGACTGCAACTAGCGAGCTAATATGGTGATCCTACGACCACCTACGGCTCCGAGAAACAACTAGCAAGTGGACGATAATTCCTATGACTCTGGACAACAGCTAGGAACTTCGAACATCACCTGCATGGCTTTCTGTGAACTCAAACAACAATGGGCAGCACCTATGCGGCTTCCTACGAACCCAAAAAAGTGGTGGGCAGCACCTAGATGGCTTCCTGCAAACCCAAATAGCGGTTGGCAACACCTATATGGCTTCCTACGAACTCGAAAAGTAGTGGGCAGCACCTAGATGGCTTCCTGCGAACCCAAATAACGGTGGGCAGCACCTAAATGGCTTCATACGAACCCAAACAGTGGTGGACAGCTCCTAGATGGCTTCCTACGAACCCAAACAGTAGTGAACAACACCTAGATGGTTTCCTACGAATCCAAATAGTGGCTTTGAAGTGCAAACAATGCTTACGACGCTTCATATCACTCCAAACAGCAACTATGAAGTGCAAATAGTGCTTACGATGCTTCCTATCACTCCAAACAGCAACTATGAAGTGAAAACAGTGCTTAAGAAGCTTCCTATCACTCCAAACAACAACTATTAATCACCAAACAGCACTTTACAGTGTTTGGAAAACTCAAACAGCACATATACAATATTGATAACCTCAAACAACATATAAAGTGACTTTTAAGCTTCCCACAACATTCTACAATATCTGGCAACCTCAAACAACACATATACAGTGACTTTTAAGCTTCCCACAACACGCTTAAGCCTTCAAACAGTTCTCATGTAAGCCCAAGACATCAATTTTAAATGCCTCAAAAATTAGCTAGGAAACCCAGCCCAAAATAGTGTGTAAACTCTCCAAAATCAGGCCCAAAATGATGTTTAAGATAATCATAAATCAGTCCCAAAACCGCCCCCACATCATCACTTAATGACCCCAAATCGACACCCGCAATGATTCCGAAACAGTGAATAAAAAAGCCTTGAAACAATGTTTGCATGTCTCCAAAACAACATTTTTTTAAAGCTCCAAAATGACACTTTAAAATGTCTCAAACAACAATTTTAAAAGGATTCTAAACAGCAGTTTGAAAGCCTTCAAACAGTAATTAAAAGGCCTCCCAACAACAGTTTAAAATAACAATCAGAAAAAGGATGAGCAACAAAAATATGTTCACTGCAGATAGGGAGCTCAAAAGGTTTCCAACAACAAATATCTCAAACAGAAGTAAGATAATTTTGAAGCAAGATAATAGTGGCATAAGCCAACATTGAAAGAGTCTATGTTTAAAAACTTTAGCTAAAAAGGACACCCATATTACCATGGTTTCACGCACACGTAAATGACACGAAAATCGTTGCATATTTTTTAGCAGGACGCGGGCCCAAGATCAACCCAGGTTCGACTCAAG